CTGGGCTCCAGGGCCTCCCCACAGGGAGGGGAGTGGAGGGCGTCCAGTATGGAGGCAAGGGTGGTGCACGTCTGTGTGGTGGGTCTTTGTCCTCATGGCCAGAGAGTACGATGTCGGGGTCTGTCCAGCCCAACTGTGCGACCAGCAGAGAGGACGGGGAAGCTGAGGCGTGACTGCAGGGAAAGGCTCAAAACCAACCAGCCAACCAGCCTTTATTGATCTCATTCAGAAATTGTTTGGGAGAAGCAAGAGTCCTTCCCGCATGAAATCCTCCTCCGAGCCCCAGTGTGTGGCACAGCCGGGGGCTCTGCTTGGTGACGGAAGCCCACCCACGGTTCGGAAACAGATGCCCTGGCCTACCTGGGTTTAGAGCAGATCCCCAGGCAAAGTCTGGGTATGAGCAGTTCATCTGGGAACGGATCCCAGACAAAGACCCCAAGAGAGAGGGAAGAGAGGCAGGGGAGGGAGGCAGCCACGCGGGGTGTCCAGAGCGGGTGACCGCTGTGGGCTCCCGGGACCTGACCCCCCTCAGGACCTCTGGGTTTCCCACCGGCAGCAAGGAAGCCGGGCTGCTTGCCCCCCAACTCCTGTCCCTCGTGGTGGAGGGCTGCTCCAGGGAGGTTACCCCTGCACCATGCCCATCCTGCACCTGGGCTGCGGGGACCCCCGTAGCCAGGGCGAACCTCCAGGTGGAGACCCACAGGTGCTGGAGACCCGACGCTGCCGCCGTGGACGGGGCTGTCCACAGAAGCTGTGCGTGGACTCCAGTGGCTGGGGACATGGGCAGGGCCCCACCAGGGTCTGTCACAGACTCCCTGTCCTGAGCTGTGTGGTTGTAACTCCTGTGGGGAAAGAGCGCCTCTGTGGAGCCAGTGAGGGAGTGGCCCCCTTGGGAGCGCTGCATGAAGAGGGACTCTGGCCACCCCGTATTCAAGGAGCCCCTCTGTCTCCTTGCCTCTGCATCCTATGGAAACCCAAGGTTCAGAGGATTTGGAGCTAAAGCAGCAATAAGCCCGAGAAGGCGAGGACCAGGATGCAGATGGGGATACGGACCACGGCAGACTTCATCCTGCCTCAGGGAGGAGCAGGCCTCCCAGGGCCTCAGAGGATGAGCGGAGGTGCCGGGAGCAGAGCGGAGGCCAGGGCTGCTCCTGGGTGTGTGGGGTCCTGGCACGTAGGTTTTGTCTAAATAAGCAATTTGATTAAAAAATGTACCAAATTCACGAGTCCAGGTGAAATATAGGCATTTATTCAGAATATGGTGGAGGAGAGGTACTTTCTGACTTGTTCGTCCAATCAATGCGTGAGCAGATGCTGTCCCCACGTCTAACTGTGAGCCACTTAGAGCAGCACATCGGTGCCTAAGGACAGCTGCACCGGCCAGCAGGAGTGACCGGCTGGCCGGGCTGTCCTCCTGGAACCTGCACGGACCAAGGAGCTCAGCAGAGATATCTCTGTCTCTGCCCCAGCAGGGCAGCTCCAGGGCATGAGCCGGAGCACCTTGGAGCCTCCGGTCGCCCCTGTGCCTGAGTTGAAGAGCACCCTGAAGGGAGGAAAGAAAAATGAGGCCCACGTAGGGTTGGTCTGGGCAGGGGTGGCCCTCATGGGTGACATCATTGGCCTGAGGGAGGGGCCCTCTGAGGCGTGGTTGAGGGGACCTCCTTGCCTGGCTTTGATACGGGACTTTGGACTGGAACACGCGGTGCTCCCCTGGGCAGCATGGTTCCCCGGATTCTTAGTCCATCGGAGTCGAAGAATGAGTCCACGGATGGAAGATGGCATAGCAAAGGTGGAGGTTTATTGAAGAACAAGTACAGACTCCCACGTGGGGAGGGGGAAAGGGTCCCCCTTGCCTGGCTTTGGAAAAGGCAAACCCAAAAGATATTTCAGAGAAAAGACGATAATAGTATCTCATGCCTGGGGCCAGAGGGGAAGGAAGCTGGTCTGGGGCAGAGCTGCTTCCTGAGACAAGGAGTTCAGCGAACGGAGAGGGTGGAGGACCTGACCAGCTTTCTGCCCGCTCTTGGCCCTGGGCTCCCTCTCAATGAGCGTAAAGTTGGCTCAGCCCTGCTGGCGGGCACTTGGCCATAGAAACCCCGAATCAAGGAGCTAGCCCCGCAGAGGGCTGCTGCCTCCCCTCCTGCTGGGAGAGAAGCACCCAGGGCCACATCCAGAGGCCGAGTTTCACATGGGAAACAGCTATTCCCGCCCTCCCACGTTTTACACATACATCGTCCACTTCCCACATTCGCAGCCAGTCTTCCCACACCTCCTCTGCCTTAAAGCCCTGGTGGCCCCGGAACACGTCATAGAATAAGTGCTCTCTTCCCTGTATCCTTATATGACTCCAGTCCCCACGGATCCCTACTTGTCACACTCCGGGGTCCTCTTCCACCGCTCATCCCCAGGCTCCTAACATCACGGAACCCCTAACCTCTATCCCAGTGATGGCGAACCTATGACACGCATGTCAGAGGTGACACGCGAACTCATTTTTTTGGTTGATTTTTCTCAATAAATAAATATCAAAAATATAAGTCTTTGTTTTACTGTGGTTGCAAATATCAAAAAATTTCTATATGTGACACGGCACCAGAGTTAAGTTAGGGTTTTTCAAAATGCTGACACGCCGAGCTCAAAAGGTTCGCCATCACTGCTCTATCCTATTCCTAAGCCTTTCTCTCTTGCCTTCCTCACCCGCCCTGACTCTCACACCCCAGCCTATGACAGTGAGCCCAGGCCCATCCTATCCCACCCCACTCCCTAGGGCAGATTCTCTTGTTTGCTGCTTGACTATATCCCTAATTAGAGGCTAAGCTCCAGGAGGGCTGGCACTTCGTCTTGGTACCTCCGACTCGTCAGAACTTAGCCTGGGGTCGCACATCCTGTTGGAAGAATGGCCAGATGAGTGACTCCTGTTCACAGTTGAGGAATTAGAACCGACATCCTTCTGCCTATGTTTCAAACACACATCCATTGCATTAAAAAAGTCCCTATGTACTTACCTGTTATCCATGTCTTTCACGGGTCTGTTTTCTCCTCAGTATGAACGAACCATGTTGTCCTACGTCTTTGCATGCTGGTAATTTTTTTATTGGATGCCAGACACTGTGAAGTCTACATTGGTGGGTGCTGAGTATTTTGCATTCTCTTGAATATTTTTGAGTTTTGCTCTGAGACTCAGGGAAATTGCTGGAAGCTTCCCGGAAACGCGGGACTCTTCTGAGGCGTGCTTTAATCGTTAGGACAGAGCCTGCACCTGGGGCTGATGTGGCCCCACATCTGTATTCAATGGCCCTTTTGTGAGGGGGTTTCTCCACTTGGGCTGTTGGGAGCATGAACTAGTCCCTGTTCTGTGTTATCTGCCTCCTCCTTTCTGGGGGGTCCTTCCCCAGTCTTGGGTGACTTTCTCACATGTAGGCATTGGTTCGCAGCTGGCTGAAGACTCAAGAGCACCCTCCTCAGAGCTCCAGAGAGAGATCTCTCTCTGTTGTCTCTCTCTCTCTCTATATTTATCCTCTCTCTGTCTCTCTCTCTCTCTCTTCCTCTCTCAAATATATTTTATTGGTCTCAGAGAGGAAGGGAGAGGGAGAGAGAAAGAGAGATACAAACATCAATGATAAGAGAGAATCATTGATCGGCTGCCTCCTGCATGACCCCATTGGATATGGAGCCTGCAAGCTGGGCATATGCCCTTGACTGGGGCCCTTCGGTTTGCAGGTCGACACTCTATCCACTTTGCCAAACCAGCCATGACTCTCTATCTCTATCTCTATCTCTATCTCTATCTCTATCTCTATCTCTATCTCTATCTCTATCATCTTTATCATACCTCTTCCCCTCCCTCTCCCCTTCTCCCTCCTTCACCACCCCCCCTTCCCTTCAGCTCACTCACCTCTGGTACTCTCTTGCAAATTTAAGCCCCCTTGGCCTCCCTGGTCTGCCAGCTCCATTTCCTCAATCACAAGGCACCACCTGGCTCCCCCCCGGAACTGCAGCCTGGACTCTGCAGGTAGTGAGTTGGGGCCATCATAGTCACAGGGCCTCCTCATTTGATTCTCTTCTCTTGGGTATCAATGTCCTCTCCTGCCTTTTTTTTTTTAAATATATTTTATTGATTTTTTACAGAGAGGAAGGGAGAGAGATAGAGAGTCAGAAACATCGATGAGAGAGACACATCGATCAGCTGCCTCCTGCACACCCCCTACTGGGGATGTGCCCGCAACCCAGGTACATGCCCTTGACCGGAATCGAACCTGGGACCCTTCAGTCCGCAGGCTGACGCTCTATCCACTGAGCCAAACCGGTTTCGGCCTCTCCTGCCTTTTTTCCAACATCTGAAAGCCATTGTTTTATATATGTGTTGTCTAGTTTTCAGTTGGTACTATGTGCCATTGAACTGTGAGCCAGAAGTGAGCCAGAGAGACTGCACCCAGCCCATGGGCCTCAGCCACAGAGCCAGTACCAAGCCGTGGGGCGGCACCAGCTGGGAAGCAGGGGCTCTGGGTTCTGATCCCCACTCACCCACTGAAGAGGAGTCGCTGAGTACTGACTCGTGCTGGGGATCTGTGAGCGCAAGACAGACAGGTCCCTGTTGCCAGGGAGCTTTTAGTCCTGTGGGTGGGGGGCTGCAGGCCACAGAATATAAGCAAATAAAGATGATACATCAGATAGTGATGAAGAAAATAAAACATAGTCATGGGTTAGAACAGGGGTCCTCAAACTTTTTAAACAGGGGGCCAGTTCACTGTCCCTCAGACCGTTGGAGGGCCAGACTATAGTTTAAAAAAAGAACTATGTACAAATTCCTATGCACACTGCACATATATTATTTTGAAGTAAAAAAACAAAATGGGAACAAATACAATATTTGTATTTGCATGTGGCCCGCGGGCCGTAGTTTGAGGACCCCTGGGTTAGAGAGTAACTAGGGGTACATCTAGTTGGGGTGATCAGGGAAAGCCCCCCAAGGAGGGGACTTTTGTCACTAACTAGCCACATATCAACAAGCCAGAGCCTCCCCTTTGCTTCAGTTCCCTGATTATGTAAATGAGGGTGTGGATTAGAGGGGCCTATGGGGCTTGCCCAGCTTTGAAATTCAGGGACCCCTCTTCTCCTGCATGACCCTTTCAGCCCGCCCTGAGAGGAGGGAAATAAGCCCCTGGGAAGGAGAGAACAGGAGCAGCAGACAAGCACGTTTATTCTGCGAGCTTCATTTCCAGGTGCCATTCCCCTCCCTCTCCGTTCGTGCTCCCTGACCGCAGCCCCCACTCGCCGCTGCCTAAGGGTTGGCCCACCCTCCACAGGCTCTGCACCAGGTGCCTCGCTGAGACAGGACCCAGCAGCTGTTTCCCGGTGGGAGTGGGAGTTTCAGCCCCAATCCTGCAGTGCCCCAGGGCGCCCATACTGCGGAGCTCCTGAGCCATCCGCGGCGCTCTGGGTGCTGCCATGTCCTTAGACCACAGGGTGGGTGGCTCCCTGGAGACACAGCTCATCCAATGCTGCCTACGGGTCAGCCCGGCATCAGGGTGATGGCCGAGAGACTGGAACTGGCCCTCACAATGCCCTGCATTCCACTGCCCTGCCTTAGCTCCAGTCTCCCGCCTGGCCTGCCCTAGGCGTTCCTGTGGCAGAGGGTAGGCTGGAAAATAGCTGGAAATGACTATTATTCCCCCTGTCCCACCCATGTGAGCCCTTGCACAACCTGGTGCTACTTCATGTCTGTGAGTGAGCAGCAGCCCTTGTCCGGCCCCAGCTCCCTGGCCCCACCCAGCCTGCCAGCCGCTCCAGCGCCCACAGCAAAGTGCCCCCAGCTCCCGGCAGCCTCCCGGACACCAGCCCTAAAGAAACAGTCTCCTCCATTGAAATCAAAGTCCCAAGCTGCTCCCAGCAGGTCACTGCCGAAGCCAGGGTGAGGGAGGGGCGGCCGTCGTCTGTCGTTCGTTCTTACTGGACACTCACTGGAAACCTGAAAGGAGACCGGATGCTCTTGGTTAGGCTGTGCAGGGGCACCGACTTCTCCGGGATTGAAGGGCAAGGGGGCCTCGGGCAGTGCCCCTCTCAGTGCCCGGCTCCCAGGGCTTCAGCTACTCCCCAGGCTCGAAGGAAGAAGCCCTCTTTGCCCTCAACCAACACTCACGCTCCGACCCCAGGGCTCTCACAGGCTCTCCTTCTTCATTCAGGGTCTCTCCCTGCTCTTTGCTCCAGATATTCAGTAGGCTCCGGCCGGCCCCTCTGACCACACGGCCCACCTGTCACCCCCCCATGGCTGGGCGCGAGAAGGCTTCTCTGGATGAAGAACCAGAGCCCCTGGGTTCTAGCCAGGATGGTCCCCTATCTGTGATGCCCGTGACTTTGGGAAAATCGTGTTAGTTCTCTGGGCCTCACTCTCCTCCTTTCCTAATACCTGGGAAAGCACGGGACTGGCGTGGCTCCTGGCTTCTCGAGGTGTGGTCCAGGGACCAGCAGCCTGGGCATCCCCGGGAGCTCGCCAAGAAGCGCAGAACCGTGGGCCCCACCCAGACTCACTGGACCAGAATCCGTGTTTCAACGAAGCCCCTAGACTCAGCGGCACATTCAAGTGCGAGGGGAACTGGTACGAGCCACATGCCGTTAATTAATCTGCCTGAGGTTTCGCTATCACCACAGGAGCAAAAGGGAATTTCTGAAGATTCTTGGGCGGAGTAATGAACACAGTGTTTCGCAGAGCCTGCAGCAGGCGGAGAGATTGGGGGGTGAGGCAGTGTCAGCCGAGGCGCGGCCTGGGGACCTGCAGTGGGTGGGGAGGGTGTGTGGCCTGCTTGATGCTGCCGAGGAAGAACCCGTGCTTCTCCGTGACACACTGGACTGGACGTGGGAGAAGCTGGGAGATCGAGGTGGAAAACAATTCAAGGCGAGAGCCCTCGGTCCCTCAGGTCTAATTCTGTGTGCAGCACCGGCCGCCTCACTGTTCACCCGGCTGGTCTCTGTTTAGAGCAGCCCCAGCTGTCCTCACTGAAGGACAGAGGACCGGCAGGCACACCGAGTCCACGCAGGTGACGTGTCACAGTCACTCTGCACCTGGTTCCCAGCTCTGCTGCACGTTGGGAACCGAAGCCCGGGCCACTCCTGGGGCGGCTGAAATCAGAGTCTCCGGGGTGGGCCGGGTGACTCCCATGGGCCAACAGTGCCGAGACCCACTGCTTTCCTCTCTGCTCCAAGGACTGGTGGGGGCCGGTACGGGGCCCACCTGCGGGCGGCTGCTGGCCGGGTCAGCGGTCTAATGCTCCCTCTGCACACTGACAAGCAGGGGGCCAGGAGCGGCGGCTGAGCCAGCGCCCCCCCAGGACTGTCACTGCCCCCCAGACGGGGCCGTGATGACGGGGGTGGGGCCGTGGAGAAGAAACACAGGCTGGCTCAGGGGGCACGGACTCCAAGACGGTTCTGCACAAAGACAGACCACAGCCCCAGGGAAAGGCGCCATGTGCAGGGCCTGGTTTACTGCGTGAGCCCAGTTAGATGGAGCTGTCCCTCTGTATCAGACGTTGTGGCTGTGGGGTCCCGGAATGGAGGGCGCTGCTACAGATAAACCCCTGAAAACGCCGCACCTCGCCCTGCGGACCAGGTCTCAGCACACAGGCCACCCCTGCTCAGCTCCCCGTGACTACGGACATTATTCAGGAGACGCTGCCCACGGGGCAAAGGTGGAATCGGACCCTGACCGGTGAGAGGGAGGCTGCTGAGGTCACATGGGGCGGAGTTGGCCCTTGTGTTTCCGTCTCTTCCCTAAAGTTCCATGTTCTTGTTTTTCCACGGGGAAGGTTCCAGAGCAAAGGGGAGAGGGAGCTGGAGGTTCCCCAGGGTGGAGACAGTGGGGTGGGCGGTGGGGACACAGAGGCACTCAGACCGAGCCCTTCCAGGCACCAGCGGGGGCCACACCACGGTTCCTGTCCAGAGGGAAACACTTCCAAACTCAGGGGTGAAGGGAGATGGAAAACACTCTAGAAAGGATTTAACCTCATCTCCGTGGACTGTAAAGCCGTCCTTGGAGTTAGAAGCAGCGGATCTGACACCACGGTGACTAACGCCTCCTCCGGGGAATGTGCATCTGTCCGCCGGTGCCCCTGGCGGGGACTGAAACGTCCCACGGCCTCCCGTGGATCCTAAATCAAATCGATTCGCCGGCCCTTGCTGAGGTCTGAGAGCCCGCGGGAGACTTACGCTAAATCACCCTCTCTGGGCCCTCACTCCCGGCGGTGACAGTCACAAATCCCCCATAATGAGCGCTCTGAGAAGCCCAGACAGGCGGGCCCCTAGATCGAGGGCAGAGGGAGCCGGGGAGAGGGACGTGTTTGCTTTGGCCGGGGAAGGGGCCTGTGCCTGGCCTGCGTGTTTGCCTGACAGGGAGGCTGATAAGTGGGCTGCGTCGCAAGTGCTGTGCGGTGGGACCTGGGCCATCTGCCGCGTCCACAGAGGAGGCACCTGCTGGCCGGTCGGCCGACCTGGCAGGAGAGGGGCCCTTATCATCCTGTCTTCGGCCCCATGGTTGTTTTTCTTCCCTGAAGAATGAAAACTGAACACTCGAACTTGTTTGTTTTGACGAATGACTTCCAGGCTGCTGTTTGTTCGGAGAACAAAGCTCCCGGCTGCGGGGCGGGTGGAGGCCCAGGGGCCAGCAGGGCCTTGCAGGACGGCAGGCCCAGGGGAGGCGCAGAAAACCACTGCTCGCGGGGCAAGCGATTCGACGTCTGCGTGCCTCAGTCTCCTCACCTGTCAGAGGGCTCCGTATGCCTCACAGGAGCGCTGAAAGCCTGGGGTGGAATAACGTACACAGAGTGCGAAACTGGTAACGCACCGCACCCGTTTTAGCCAGTGTTTCGCCTGCAGCCCAGCTTCCGCGCCGCCTGGGCATCGAGCTGCAGGGAGACGCCACCCTGACCCCGGCCGTGGGCGAGGCTCTTCTCTTCCGAGAGGGTTGGAGGCAGAGCCTCTGTCATGTGTACAAAAGTCGAGGAAATGTGACTTAAAACATTGTTCCTCACTCCAGGGCTTCTTGACGGGAGAAATGACAGTTGAATTTTATGAACTGTCCCGGGGAGGGACCGCCCTGCCCCAAACCCAGTCTCTTTCTCCATTTATGGCTTGGACTCCGCATCCCGCACCTCCTCAGAGTTTCCCCTGCAGTCTGGTCCTCTGGTCCATGTCGTCAACTTCCTTTGTTCCCTCGTCACCACTTCACTCACCGTCTCTGCTTTCTCCCCTCCTGTCCCCTCCTCCACCACTGCAATCACCGGCTTTCGCTCTCCCAGCCCCACCCAGAAGGGCGCTGGGCCAGGGCCCACCGAGGCCAGGGCCCCCTGGACACACCCCGGCCAGTGGTCCCCGTGCTGCGCCCGCGGACTCGCAGCAGCACTGGGCTCCACGGCCGTCCCCCTTGGAGCCCGCTCTCCTGCGACCTGCCTGAGGCGTCGCTCACTCAGCCACTGGCTGGCCTGGCCCTGAGCCTTCTCAGTGTCTCTGGCTGCACCTCTAAATGTCGCCAGGCCTAAGGATCTGTTGTCAGCAATGAGGGATTCCACACCTCCCAGACCTCCCGCGGGCTCCAGCTTCAAGTGCAGCCGCCTTCTCACCTCCTCTGGGCACACACCCCCCCCTGAACTCCTAATGGGCCAACCGGAGCTCCGAGGACTCCATGCCCTTGCCTCTCTCTCTGGGAAAATGGCACCACCGTCCCATCCCATTGGCTGCTCAGATCAGAAGCTTGGGACCCCCAGGCTCCCCTCCCTCTCTCCCACCTACATCCAGGCCTCTGTGAGTCCAGGTTGCCCTCACCCTGGCCTGGACCTTCCCAGGCACCTGACAATGGCTCCTCCTGGCCCTCTAACCCAAGCCACGCACGACAGCCAGAGTGACTTTCCAAAGCAGTAGGCACGCCCGCCCGCTGTGGGGCACATCCTCAGAGAGCTCCCCTGCACCTTCGATAGAAGCCAGAACCCCACAGGGACCCTGGACCTGGCCCTGCTGCCTTGCTCACCCTCCAGCCACCCATGGCCACGCCAAGCTCCTTCCCTTCAGCGCTCTTCATTTTTGCTTCTCCGCTGGGCCGGCTCACCCGAGAGCACCACGCTGCTCCCTTCTCACTGTTCAGCTGTGAGGGTAAAGCTCTTCCCGCAGGGAGCCTCCCCACCACCCTCCCAGCGAAGCGCAGCCTCCCCGTTACTCTCTGCAACACTGCGTATTTGGCTGGTTCGCTGCGCTCATCTGCACCTCACAGGGTCTAGGTGCTAGCTGGCGTGCTCATCCGTCTCCTCCCTCTTCCTGGAATGTCGAGGGCACTCTGCCTTTTTAAAAAATATATATTTGTATTGATTTCAGAGAGGAAGGGAGAGGGAGAGAGACCTAGAAATATCAATGATGAGAGAGAACCATCGATCGGCTGCCTCCTGCACGCCCCCTACCGGGGATGGAGCCCGAAACCCGGGCATGTGCCCTTGACCAGAAACAAACCCGGGACCTTTCAGTCCACAGGCCGATCCTCTACCCACTGAGCTAAGTCAGTTAGGGCGAGGGCACTCTGTCTCGTTCACTGCCAGGGCCCAGCCCTGGTACAGTGCCTGGCACACAGGAGTTGCCCAATAACTGCCGTGTTCATTCACCGACCGGCTGTGCAAACTATTCAGCGTCTGATACATGTCGCTAGAGTATATGGGGAGTAGATGGGGCCTCGGAGATCACCGAATCCAAATTCATTTTTTCCTCCTCCTTCTCTTTAGACAAGGAGACTGAGGCTGAGAGGAAGCCAGCGGTGAGGTCACGGTGCCCCAGCAGGTTGCTGGCAGAGCGGGCTCTCAGGTCTCAGACAGGCCCTGGCCAGGTGCCCATGGTGCTGACCCTACCAGTGAAGTCGGGATGTATGTGGGCTGGCATCCCGGTGAGCACAGCATTGCAAAGGCCACCCTTTCCTCGGGGTGCTGGCCCTCAGGGCCGGTGTCAGTCATGATGCGCCCCTGGTCTGCCTCTCATCCACCACGGAGCCTGCTGGAAGCGACGCTAAGCCTGCCTGGCCTGGTCTCAGGAGAGCGCGAGGAAGGCAGGAAGGGCCTGCTCTTACCCTCCCTGTTGTCTGATTGGCCACACACGTTTCTCCATAACTTCCATGGCCCCAGGCCTGGGCCTCTAAGTGCTGCTTACACTGTCACCTCATTGGCGAGGCCACACCTGCAGGAGAACTGGCGTTTCCAGCCAGGGACTCCACAGGCCAGGCCTCCACTCAGCCCTCCTGTGTGGCGGGGACCCAGCCAGGGAGCGCTGGCTTTGGGGACAGGGGACAAAGGGAGCTGACCACCTGGAGGAGGAGAGAGGCTTTGCCAAGCCGGGCAGGAGCAGCCAGGCTGCCCACTCTCCGGCCTGTCTGGGGGCTTCTGATGCTGCGTGTGGGGCTTTCTCCAGGAGGATGCAGAGGCCAGGCACACGGAAATGAGCACCAGGCCAGTCCCATGGCCTCAGGACCGTGCAGGGAGCTTCCTGCTTCCCTCGGGCCTCGGTGCTAGCTCCAGCCTCCCCCTGGGGAGCAGAGCGGGGTGGGGGGCCCCGTGGCCCTGGAGGAAGGGGCACTTACATTTCTTCTGCAGAACGTTCTGTCTGGCCTTGATGAATGCCAGGATGTCGGAATCCGTCTGGCTGTCTCCGGTGAGGGGGACGGACGAGGCCCGCCTCTCAGGGATGCTGGGGACAACCACAGGTCACACTTTACTGCCCCTTATGTTTGGACTCAGTGCTTACCTTTCCCAAGCGCTTTTCCATTTTCAATGACTCCATGTCACCCAGGAGGCCATGAGGACCAATCGCCTCCTCCTCCCTCCCTCCCCCTTATCTGTGCAGCAGCCACAGCAAACCTTTGCATGCAGTTGTGTCATGTCCTCACCACCTTCTCCACCCTTCGTCACACCCCCTCTTCCTCGTTCCCCAGCTTACCCGAACAAAGCCCATTTGACCTGGGACCTAGCTCCTCCAGCACCCAATTTAGATGTCATGTGCCTTAGGCTGTCTCCCCAGGGTGTCCCATCCCCACCACAGCTTAGCCAGTTGTCTCTGAGGCAGGGACAACTATTCTCCCCTCTCTCCTTAAAAACAGAGCCATAATATTTAGCCAAGTAAGCTGCACAGCTAAAAACTACATCTCCCAAGTTCCTTTGCAGCGATGTGGCCAGGTGACCAGGTCCTGGCCAATGAGATTTGTAAGAAGTACTGGAAATCCCCAGGAGGGAAGGGAGGGACATATGCGGCCTTCTCCCTCCTCTTTCTCCCTCCAACATCTCCATATAAAATCTCCCTTAAGAAAATTCAGAGCAATGTGCTCTCCTGGCTTTGCCAAGCTGCCACCCTCACACCTGCCCCTCCACAGCAGGTGACAGTCCCCACTCCCTCCTGTATGTAATAAGCTGCTCATTATCACAAGTCGTCTTTTGTCAGCATTCCAGCTGCAGCTCAGCCAGGAGTGCTAAGGCAGTCACAGCAGGGGGATGGAAGCTGGGGGGGAGGGGGGTGTCCGTCCTCTCTGGGAACAGGGAGGAGCCCGGTGGAGTTCACCCTGGGACACCTTGGGAGGAGAGTGGCACCTGCCAGATGAAGAAGGGCGTGCGGGCCTTCTACTCAGAGGGCACAGAGCGGGCGCTGGGAGAGGCCTGGTCCACTGTGTTCAGGTGCCAGGGAGAGGCCTGGAATGAGTGGCTCACAGGATTGTCAACTCTGTCCTCCCTGCCTGGGGGCTCTACGGGGGCTCGTGGCCCATGTTGGGACGGTCCCTGGGCTGGCTCTTCTTTCCTTTAATGGCCCCACGTACATCTATTCACAGGAGACAGGAAGCATGCATACAGGGCCCCAGTGACCCTGGGGGAATCGGGTGCCAGAGCGGCGGCCAGCCCTGGGCTCTGTGTGTGGCCACTGGACAAGGGGCTCCTCAGGCTGTGGGGGAGGCAGACTGATGATTTCCACCCAATTTGCCTACAGGTGGGGCAGTGACAGGCGTGAGAGGGGAAGATCACAGACCTGTCGTCCAGGGAGGCACGAGGGCCCGTCTCCTCCGGGCTGGGCAGGATGGGGCGAGGCGAGGGCAGGATTTTCCTGGTATACACACTGCGGTAAAGACCAAACCCACAGATGAGAAGGTATGGGAGGAGGTTTACCAGGGAGAAACAAACTCAGGGTCTGTGGTTAGGAGCTGTATGGACCGAATCTTTGGGACACCTCACCATTCATATATGGAAGCCCTCACCCTCAGTATGGTGCTGTTTGCAATGGGGCCTTTGGGAGGTTTGGATGAAATGATGAGGGTGGGGAGATCAGAGCTCTTGCTATCATGTGAAGACACAGCAAGGAACCGGACTCTCCCCAGACTCCGATTCAGCCTCCAGACTGAGAAATAAATGCATTTCTGTGGGGTGTTTGGCGAGGGCAGCCCGAGCGGACTAGGCCAGGAGCCCAGAGCCCTCTGTCATGAACGTCCTAGTCAGGTCAGGCTGCCAGAACAGCAAACCACAGCCTAGGGCAGTGATGGCGAACCTTTTGAGCTCGGCGTGTCAGCATTTTGAAAAACCATAACTTAACTCTGGTGCCGTGTCACATATAGAAATTTTTTGATATTTGCAACCACAGTAAAACAAAGACTTATATTTTTGATATTTGTTGTATATATTTAAATGCCATTTAACGAAGAAAAATCAACCAAAACAATGAGTTCGCGTGTCACCTCTGACACACATGTCATAGGTTCGCCATCACTGGTCTAGGGGGTGGGGGTGGGGAGAGACTTAAGCAACAGGAAGTGATTTCTCAGTTCTGGAGGCTGGGAGTCGGAGTTCAGGGTGCCAGCGCGTCGGGTTTCTGTGAGAGCCTTCTTCACTGTGTCCTCACGTGGGGGGAAAGAGTGAGCGAGCTTTCTGGCCTCTTATCAGGGCACTGATCTCACTCACGAGGCCTGCACCCTCAGGGCCTAATCACCTCCAAAGACCCCACCTCCAAGTACCAGCCCATTGGGGTTAGGTTTCAACATACCAGTTTGGGAGGCACATTCGTCTGTAACATCCCACCCCCTCAATGCCCCCAAATTCATGTCCTCATTCCATCCTTCCCGCCCGCCTCCCCCCCCCCCCCCCGCCCCCTTCCTAGCTTGTTCCAGCATCAACACTAAGCCTAAAGTCCAAAGTCTCATCTGAATAGCATTTAATCAGCTCTGGGTGAGACGCAAGGCACTCTTGATTCATTTCATCCTAAGGCAAAATTGCCCTCCAGCTGTGCGGGGACAGGCTCAGCATAGGCCAGTGGTCGGCAAACTCATTAGTCAACAGAGCCCAATATCAACAATACAACGATTGAAATTTCTTTTGAGAGCCATTTTTAAAACTTAAATTATATAGGTAGGTACATTGTTATTGACTTAATTAGGGTACTCCTCAGGCTTAGGAAGAGCCACACTCAAGGGGCCAAAGAGCCGCATGTGGCTCGCGAGCCGCAGTTTGCCGACCACGGGCATAGACCGTCCCCTTCCAAAAGGGAGGACAGGAAATAAGGAAGGTGATGGGTCCCCAGGGAGTCTAAATCCTCGCAAGGCCAACACCAGGAGATCTTAAGGCTCAACCATCATTATCTTCGGCTTGATGATCTGCCCGTTGGTCCCAGTGGGGTGATCAGCCAGGCTCTGCTGGGCAGGGGTCATGCCCTCATGGTTCTGCTGCGTGTCCCCCAGCATTGGCCTGTGGAAAGCAAGCCGGTGGGCCCTCCTTTTGAAATAGGGGGCAGCCCCGAGGCTCTGAATGGCCTTTGGGGTCATTCTCCTCTTGCTGGAGGAACGGTGGTGTCCACGGCAGAGTAGCGCTGTGGTTCCATCCCGTAAAATCCAGGAAGTCCGGCAGCCTGCCTCGTCCCGTCCCCGCTCCTCCTCCTCAGCTCACCATGTCAGTGCTCCTGGTGGGGCGGCCGATCCCGTCCCCGGGTCACGCCCCCACTCATCTTGTGGTCGCTCGGCCGCACCCTGGGGTTCTCTTCTGGAGACACTTGCTTAGTTTTTGCAGCTTGGACAGGCGGAGGAGTCTCCAAATCTGTACATTCCAGTCATTTTTGCTTAATCAGGTCACCTTCAAGTCATGACTCTCTTACATTTCACTCTAAGCAACCAGGAGGGGCCAAGCCATTCCTTCCACACTTCGCTTAGAAATCTCCTTGGCTAACACCAGCTTCATCACCTGTAAACTGGACCTTCCGCAAAGACTGGAACATGAACACAGCTCAGCCGAGTTCTTTGCCACCGTATGACAAGGACTGCCTGTCCTTCAGATAGCACGCTCCTCATTTCTGTCCGAGACCTCAGAATGAACTTTACCACCCAATTTCTACCAACATTCTGGACACGATTATGTCTCTTCTCTAAAGGACGGGAGCTTTCCTCACAGCTCTTCTCCGTCCATGATGAGCCCTTCCCAGAATTGGTTTTAAAAGTCCCTTTAGGACAATCTCGGCTTCTTCTGCACGTCAAAGCTTTCCAGCCTCGACCCATTACCTGGTTTCACAGCTGTTTCAGCATCTTTTGGTTTTTGCTGTAGCAGCACCACTTCTGGTGCCCATTCCTGTCTGAGTCAGGGACACAAACATTCAGTCCATGACGATGGCTTATACCAGTGATGGCGAACCTATGACACGCGTGTCAGAGGTGACACACAAACTCATTTTTTTGGCTGATTTTTCTTTGGTAAATGGCATTTACATATATAAAATAAATATCAAAAATATAAGTCTTTGCTTTACTATGGTTGCAAATATCAAACAATTTCTATATGTGACACAGCACCAGAATTAAGTTAGGGTTTTTCAAAATGCTGACACGCTGAGCTCAAGAGGTTCGCCATCACTGGCTTATACATTAATTTTCATATTGGAGCATTGCATGTACTGGGTATGCAAGTTGAACGAAAACAACGAAGATCACAAATGTCAGTCATAGACAGGGTCTGCACACCAGGTCCTGGCAGTGTGCTCTGCAATAGCCCCATTATCCCCATTATATACACGAGAAAACTGAGGCTTAGAGAAGTTTAAAAAATTCTAAAAGTTACCCAGCTGGTCAGTGGCTGAATCTGGACCCAATCATGACTCTCGAAGCCTCCGGAATCCATGCTCTCAGCCATGATGCTTTATTAACTGCACCCCCCCCCACTCTGGTGTTCTGGGGGAGTACTCTGGAGACGCGTGGCATTTCCCTGGCCACACCAACTGCCCTTAGGAGGCCCCAGCTGACCAGCGCTGTGCTTCCTGAGCGAGACGTCAGATCCAACACCTCACGCACACGCAATTTGCCCATTTTACTAGGCTGCCTGGTATATTGGCCTGGCCTTGGATTCTTGGTTGCAAATAGCAGATCCCAGGAGCACCCCCTGGGAGGTAAAGGGCCAGTGGCCAGAACTGTCCCTATGCCAGGGTCAGGATGGGGTCCTCTCTCTCTGGCCTTGGGAGGGTCCTGCCTACACACACGTCAGAGCTGGAAGAGGCCTGAAGAGTCTCCTGGTCAGAACCCTCCTTTTACAGGGAACACTCAGGCCGAGGCAGGCCAGGGTTCAAGACAGGTGCACCAGCTTTGCCACATCTGCACCAAGTCCAAGGAACTCCACAGACCTGACAACCTGCGGTCCCGCCCATGAGTGCAGCCCTGTCCTCCGTCCTCCGCCGCAGCCCTCAGCCCCTCCCGTCTCTCCCAGCAGCGGGGCTTCTCCCCTGGGCCTGCCTCCTCAGGTTCAGGGCGGTGGGCCAAACAGGCAGGAAAGGAAATCAGAGCCCGGGATGCTCACTAGTATTTCCCAGCATCCCAGAGCCTCCCCACTGAGTGTGTGGGCCGGCTGGAAGGCAGCTGCAGGACCAGAGGCAGCCACAAGGTGGCAGGCTCTGCGTGCTCTTCTTTAGGGAACAGAGGCCAATTCTTTGGGCTAGAACTGGAGTTCTTGGTGTGGGGGCAGGGAGGGTGAGGAGAGAAGGAGAGAAGGGTCCAGGTCATCTTGGAAGCTGTAGCAAACCTTACAGGACCAAGTCATTGGCACACAAATGCGTCATTGACTCAATGGTTTCCCAGCGGAGCCTGTTCTAAGATTCCAGGGAGTGTTCACAGGAGCCAAACTGTGGAGGGTGGGGAGTGGATGGAAGGGGCAGAGCTGGACAGGGCCGGGCAGAAGGGCCTGGTGACCACACCATGGCGGAGAAGGCCCTGCAGTCCCGACGCCCAGCCCGTTGCCACGACCAGCTCAGGCAGGAGCATGGCACGATGCGGAGGCTGGTCCCTAAGCTGCCCCGGGGGCACCCATGCCATCGCCCGTTGTCTGATCCCTCACGTAACAAATTACTTTTGTCCCCTCTCCTGACCAGCCAGCCTGACGCTGAATTCATTTCTCATGTTGATATTTGTTCTGGAGAGAACATACCAGCCACCAGAACTTATTATCTTTCTTAATAAGGATTAATAAGCAATATTTATATCAATTAGACCTCCCGGTTGCCATTCAGAGCTGTGACTTTAGTGTGTGCAGCCGGCAGGCTCTGCACACCCTCGGGAGGTGACGGAATCCGGTTTCTTTCAGAGAAACCTGGAGCGGAGCGGCCCTGCCCGCCGAGCCCAGCAGCAGCGGCCTCGCTGGAGCCCGGTGCAGACACCGGCTCCTCGGTGGCACTGGGACACTCATCTGTTCATAGAGCAACAGTGTCGGAGGGACCCTGGTGCATCTGACAGAGAGGGAATCCCAGAGGGAGCTGGCTTGCCCAAGGGCCCGCTGCTGGGAAGAGCTTTGAGGACGATTCAGCATATCCTTTGGGAAAATCTCAACTGGGGGAACTCCTTGGGGGTCAGATGGAAAGAAGAGATGGACAGAAGGAAGGGAGAGGGCGAGAGAGAGATAGAAACATCAGTGATGAGAGAGGATCATTGATCGGCTGCCTCCCGCACGCCCCCCACTAGGGATGGAGCCTGAAACCCGGGCATGTGCCCTGAATGGGAATCAAACTGGTGACCTCTTGGTTCATGAGTCGATGCTCAACCACTGAGCCACACGGGCCGGGCAGGCTTTTCTCGGTTTTTTGTTGGAATGTGCTTTCTGGTCCAGGGCCCCATCGGGGACAGCACATCACGGTTCTAGTCGCCGCATCTGCTCAGGCTCCTCGCGTCTGTGGCTGGTTCCTTGGCAGCCCTGGGGAGGACTGGCGGGGGGGGGGGGAGGGGAGGGGGGCCTGGAGAATGCCCCTCCACGGGCCTTGCTGCTTTCCTCATGACTTGGCTGGGGTTTGGGTTATTGAGAAGAAGGCCAGAGGTGGAGTGCCACCCCGTCCCATCCCATCACAGGGACTGACAGCCCCTCCCCCAATGCTCCCCAACCAGAGAGCCCCACTGCCCTTCACCCGTCAGAGGTGGCTCCCAGGTGGTAGAGCAAGGCCCCACCCTGCCTGGCCTCTGCCGTGGGGGGTGGGGGTGGGGGGTGGAGTAGGGGGTGGGGAGGAGGTGCTGTCCGTCTGGGGCTGCAGGTGGCCGGGGCACATGGCACTGGCTGTACTGCCTGAGCTGTGTTGTTGGAGAGATGATGCCGTGGGTGGCGTGAGAAGGAACCTGCCCTCCAAGGCAGTGTGTGGGGAGGCGCGTCCCTGCTGGGTCAGGCCGACATTCCAGAAACTGGCTCTGGGCCATCCTCACCCTCATGGGCGCCGCCCGCATCTGTCCTCACAGCCTTTCACCAGAGCTCCTGGCAGGCGTCTGGCAGGCTGACTACGCTCTGCCCTGCCGCCAACACCCAGTCTCCCCACCACCCTGCCCTCCCACTGCCGACCCCTCTCCCTGCGCAGGCGCTGGACCAGGGCCTGTGCGGTGAAGGGCTCTCTTGTTGCCATGGCAGTGGGTCTGCAGCGTCAGAGCTGGGGAGGGACTGGGGGTGGGGGTGGGGGTGGGGGTGGGGGGCGCCCAAACAAGCCGGGAAGCCACTGCCTGGCGTCCACACGTGATTTAACAGAGTGACTGCTCCTCCCACAGAGACCTCAGAGCAGCCGAGCGGCGAGGAGGACAGTGGGGAGCCATTCTGGGGCGCCCCAACCCTGTCAGCCGAGCTCTCTTCTTACCTCTGGTTAGAGAGAAGCGGGGGCCTCTCGTGCTGGGACCTGGGCCTGGGTGGGAGCGGCTGCGAGTGACGGGGTGAGTTCCCTGCCGGAGGGTCCGCCTGTGGGCCAAGCAGCGTCGCACGGTGTTAGCCTGAGTCTGAGGCTGGGGAAGGGCCCTGGCTTAGTTCTTACGGGGAAAGAACTAGCTATGGAAGTTGGTGCCTCTGACATACGCGGGAAAAACAAATCTAGACACAGTGATGACTGTAGTGAGCGGCACCTGCATATCACCCGTGGGCGGCGGGGCACAGGCCGTGTGCGATCTGGGCTACGTTTTCCACACTGAGCACGCAGTCCTTCCTGCCGTTAGCAAACAATGTTTAAAATGGGGTCTGCCCGGCCGGCGTGGCTCAGTGGTTGAGCGTTGACCTGTGAACCAGGAGGTCAAGGTTCGATTCCCGGTCAGGGCACATGCCCGGGCTGTGGGCTCGATCCCCAGTGGGGGGCCTGCAGGAGGCAGCTGATCAGTGATTCTCTCTCATCATGGATGTTTCTATCTCTCTCTCCCTCTCCCTTCCGCTCTGAAATCAATGAAAATATATTAAAAAATAAAATAAAATGTGAGCTGACAGTTCTCCGAAGTCCTTTCTGGTTTTGCATCCCCGGTCACGGGGGGATGCGGCCCGAGGCGGGAGGACATCACCGAGCACCTCGTGCGGGAACAGCTCCACCACGTGCCCTGGAACCACAGTCCGCACTCAGGGCTCGTGGGAGGGCTCCAGCTGCAGCTCATCTGGGCCTGGGCAGGGTGCCCGTGACGCGCCCTGAGCACGAGAGCACGGGGCACTTCCCACTGGCTCCCTGTCCCCCAGGACACTGTCGTGGGAGCTTCTTATCGCCTCTCACGTCTTAAGGCGTCTGCCTCGCCCACCCGGGTACATCGCAGCCTGTGGAACTGCTCAGAGCCAGTTCCCGGGCAACAGGGTGCCCGTCATCCCTGCTGCGGTCATCTGGCCCCTTTGGTTTGAGTGACGTCTGTGGGCAGAGGCACCATGGAGTCCACACCTTGGCTCCCTGGCTTCCACTGCCTCTGTAAGTCATAGACTGATGGACCCTGTCAGCCAGCACAGATACCTCCTGAGTCACACGGGATGCCCCTCACCCCTGTTCAGCCATGGAGCCCCCTTGGGTGCTGCAGTGGCTGTTGCCTCACTCTTGATGATGAACCAGGATGGGGTTTTTCCTGGGGGACAGGCAGACCCAGGGGCACCGGGGACGTGGATGGGAACTAATTACATCTTTATTTTTCCCAACTTCTGGCAGAAATTTAGCATCTTTCCCAATGATAAGCATAGATAACAAATCACCAATGTATTAGGAGTACCAGCGACTTTATCACCAGTACAAATCATAGAGAGATCTTCGTATTGCATTACAGTTACAGAAATCTTGAAATATTGTGGTCATCATTTCTTTGAAATTATAGTAAGTATTGGGCCTGCCCTAGACCTTATTCATGAATGCATGTGTAAAGTGCTGTACATATTATTATATCATAACTTTGTTTTAAAAATACTTTGAGAACTGTATTTCAGTCTTATTGTTATTGTGTTTTTTTGTGTGTCATCATGTGTGTTTAATTTTATCTAAATACTAGGGGCCCAGTGCATGAATTTGTGCACCTTGAAAGGAACTGTGGGCTGTGAGGCTGTGTTGGGCACAGGGGCAGGTCTCAGCCCATCCTCCACGCCTCCCCCACCCGGTCCCTCCCACCATGGCCCCCGGTCCCCTGTCTGCTGGCAGACCCACTCCCACTGCCGTTGCTCCCACGTGCTGATGGCACCAGCCCTGCTCGCACCCTCTGATGGCATGAAGCGATTGGGGCCACCACCAGCAGCAGGTGCGAGCGGCGGCTGCTGCCCCAATCACCCCTCAGGAGCAGGGGGAAGTGGAGAAGCCCTCAGGGGCGATCAGGGCTGGCACCGGCACCAGCAGCGGGGCCGGTGCTGGCAGCAGGTTTGAGCACCGGGCGGGACCGCGGTGTGGGGGAGCAAAGAATTTTCAGTAATCACCAGAGGCTCACCCTGATGACAGTGACAGGCACCCTGCCTTGGTCTGGTGCCCCCGCTCACCTGCTCCACCATCCCGCCTTGGCTGATGTCTGCCATGTTCTGTGTGTGCCCCCTGGTGGTCAGTGCATGTCATAGCAACCAGTTGTTCAGTTGTTCTGCTGTTTGCTCTATTTTCATGTTAGGGTTTTATATAGATAGATTCTTCCCAATATCGGCCCCTATGGCCACTTGGTAACGTGTTGGGAGCTGTTACCTGGCTTTTGGGGCAAATAGCTTCTTTGGATCAGTTTTGTTGTCTGTCAGATGGTCCCTGCGGATCTGCCAGCTGTGCAGGTGACATGACCGTGTGCATGTCATCACTCCCTGCACCAAGGCCAGGGAGCCCGAGGACAACTGGAACCGGGGCTAAGCTAACGTCCCCCCCAGATTATCTTAGCTTCACTATATGATAGGGAACTTTTAAGAATTTGTTCAGATATGCAAAGGTTTATCTACAAATGTGTTTCCGGTGAAATACTAGAAATAACCTAAACATTAAGCAATGGAGTAGTTAAGGAGAATAAAACAGATCCGTGTGATGGAACGGTGCCGGCCCGTAGGACGCTGGCGAAGAAATCACAGCGTGGGAGAGCCGTCATGCTCCGTAATTAAGTAAGCATGCCTTTGAGCCGCCGGGAGACCAATACGATTCTAGTTTTATACAAACACGAATATATATGCATAGACGTGATAGAATAACATGATCCAACATGGTAATATTGGTTTCCTTAAGTGGTGGCATTATTTATGGTGATCTTTACTCCTTTGTGTTTTTCTGTATTTTCTAACATTTTTATAATCTATATCATTGTAATAAAAAACAATCAGTGTTGTTAATATGTTATCACAGGAGAACATCATGCAATGCAATGGTGGCGTGCCCTGTTTTGATCCACCGGTTTGGGGCGTGCACCTTCCATTCCCCACCTTTCCATGCGACAGGCACTGAGCAAGGAAACAGTGAGCCCAGATCACCTGAGTTCCTTGTTACCAAAATAAGCGCTAGCTTCATGCCCGGGCTGAGAGCCTGTGGCCCCGTGTGCTGAAACCCTGCCCCTGGCAGCCCCAGGGGCCTGTGTCTGTCCCTCCCCCGCTGCCCCGCCCTTCCCCAGCCCCCGCAGGGCCCTGCGGCCACCCGTACCTGCAGGCTGCTGGCCTCCGCTGCCCACCAGGCCTCAAACTCCTTCTGCAGCTTCACCTTGGCTCTGTCCATGAGCAGCTGCAGGTGCTCGATCTCCACCTTCAGGGCCTTCAGGCGCGTGAACATGGTTTTATACCTGCAGGGGCATCAGGCAGGAGCCGTGAGAGTCTCTGGAAGGAGGTGGGGCTGTGGATGGGCTGTTGGCTGAGAACCTGTGCCTCCGTGGCCTCACAGTGCTGCGCTGGTAATAGGACTGGGACCCTCATGCTGCCCACCAAGGCCAGAGTGTGGTGCCAGGTTTCCCACCCACCACAAGGAAGCAGAGCTTGGCGTTTCTGTCCCGTGGGCTTGTGGGCCTGTGTGTGAGATGAAGGTCCCGTCTCCCAGAGCGGTAACTGCCATTACTGAGCACCTGTGAGGGGCAGGCATTGCTGCAGGCCCTGGACATATACGCGCTCATTGAACCCTCTGCACAGCCCTATGGATGCACACAGTTCCTCTCCACTTGGCAGATTGGCACCTCGACAGGAGCGGTTAAGTAACTTGCTCTGTGACACAGAGCTCATAGGGAGAGCAGCCAGGATGGGGACGGCTCTCTGTTCTAGGACCAGACTTCACGGCCTCCCGTTCCGCTGGCTCACCATCAAGCCCAGGCCCCAAAGTGGCACTACCTTTGTTCGTGCGCCTGGGGGTGCTGGGCAGGCCACAGAGTCAGAGGTTGTCCAACAGGAAGTAGATGAGGATTCCTCTACAGAGACACCCTGACTTCTGAGAGGGCCCTGTGGTTGGGAGTGTGGACCAAGGGGACAGGACGGGGGCAGCACAGACACAGAGGGAGGATTGAAAGGAACCAGAAATTAAACAGAGCGTGGGAGAAAGAGGACCACAGGGGAGTGAACCGGGGCCCGGAGGGCAGTGCGAGCTTTCGGAAGGAGGATGTGGCAGGAGTGACCTGCCCATTGGCTGCGTGGGATCTTGCTCTGAAGTCTCAGGAGGGTCGGAGGGGGGGGGGTGCTCGGGGTGCATGCCTAACCAGCCCGGGGGTGGCCTGTGTCACAGTGACACTTTGGGGGCAAGGAGGTGGCTTGTTTGGTCTCCCCAAAGTCTCTCCACGGCAGGGAGGAGACCGCAAACATTGGTTGAACGCATGAAGGAATGGATGGGCTGAGGCGCTCGGCTGGAGTGTTAGCAAGACGCTGTGACACGCTGTGTCGGTAATGGCCACACGGCTCTGTGTGCTGGGGGGTGCTCAGTCTGTGACCGAAACCACCTGGGGACCCTCAATGGCTGCACGAAGGTCTGATGTTCTCAGGACGCCTTAGGGATCAGGATGCAGAGGAGGGAAGTGGGCCAAGCTGCAGGTGGAAGGAAGACCCCCGTGGTCATATCTCTTGGCTCCCCTAGATGGCAGCAGTAGACAGGACTGGCTGCTCATGCAGCCTCAGCCTGGAACAGGGGGGAGGAGGGGCCAGCAGCCTCCAGCTCTGCCTTCCTGATACTCTTCCTGCTCCTCATTCCACCTCACCAGCCCGGGGGTCATGCACCACATCTGCCTGCTCAGAGGCAGCACCTCTCCAGCTGTTTCAGGACCCAACAGCTGGACCCACTTCTAGAGAAGCTCCAGGCCTGGGCGGGCATGGCCTCTCTGCCGGCCCAGGGCAGCTCCCGGCCTATGTGGAGCCCTCTGAGCTGGGGGTGGGGGTGGGGGGCTCTGTGGAGCCCTCTGAGCTGGGGCGGTGGGGGGTGGGGGGCTCCGTGGAGCCCTCTGAGCTGGGGGTGGGGGTGGGGGGCTCCGTGGAGCCCTCTGAGCTGGGGGTGGGGGTGGGGGGCTCTGTGGAGCCTCTGAGCTGGGGCAGGGGGACAAGGAGAAAGAAAGGCACCTTCTCTTTTCCTCCTCCAGCTGTGACCGCAGCTTCTCTTCGTGCAGGTCTGGCACCGCGGGCGCGGGCATGTTCTCTGTGACACCTGGAGAAGGGAGAGCGATGCTCATGTTTACCTCAACGGGGAAGGAAGTCCAAGGGTTAGGGTGCACCCCAAGATGAAAGGGGACTCTGGGAGCTCCTCTGGGGCCTTGGGATGGGACCTCCCCTGGCTGGCGCCCTCTGCTCCGAGGGAGGCCCCGGGGGCTCCTGTGAGTCCGCTCAGCCAGTCGCCCTTCCACTGCCCCACATCTGACAGGGGAGGAGAATTCTTCCTTACGTCCCACTAGTCCTTTTGCTATTAGGTTCACGCATTTCCTCTAGAATCCCCAGGGAGGATGCAAAATAGCATCGCCCATCCTCGGATACAGAGCCCTGTGCAAACCAGGAAGACACCACGAAACCGGTCCATGTCTTTCCTGTGCCCGGCGAGGGGCTCAGTTCTCTAGCCTGCTGGTTTTGACTTCCCTCTAAAGGAGTGGTTCCCAAGCCTGACTAACCCACGCAGTGCACCCAGAGCTGAGACCCACTCTCAGATCCCCTGCCCATGACAGGGGCATGGCCAGGCCGCGGGGAGGGCTGTGACCTCCACTGGGGATCAAGCCCGCAACCTGGGCATGTGCCCTGATTGGGAATAGAACCGCGACCTCCTGATTCCTAGGTCGATGCTCAACCACTGAGCCATGCTGACTGGTCAGCTCAGTTTCCTCTTACTTGAGCTGAGAGCTACCACACTAACTTCTTTCACCTCCACTTTGGATCTTTGCAAGAGCATAGCATGTCCTCCTAATTTGCTGGCTCTTTAAATATCTTAACAACAACAACAACAACAACAAAATACCATGTGTGTTTGGAGCTTTAGTCTCAGGATGACTCTTTCCTCATCGAGGAGTCACTGACAGTTGTCTAACTGATCTTAAATCTAAAGCCTGAGTCTGGACAGAACATTCCAGAGAGGTCTGCAAGGGGCAAAGCTCTCCTGGCTGTGCCGGCTTCATGCCCTTTATTTCCATAGCAGGTGAATACCAACAATGACCATTGACTGAGTGCCTTCTCGATGCCGGCTTCTGCCAAGTGCTCACCACACCTTCTTACTGATTTTCAAAAAGCCGAGCAGGGAAGGCATTGCCTCACTTCACTTAGATTCGGAGGCTCAGAGAGGGCTGTGAATAACCCAAGGTCACACAGCTGACAAGGGACAGAGCGGGTTCCAAAGAGCTAGGCGTTTATTCCAGGCAGCGCCCGGGACTGCATTCCAGCCACTTGGTCCTTGTCACGGCCCTGACAGGCTGTCATTGGCCATTAGTAAGCTTGAGGTCAGTTTAAACACTTCGATATTTTTATTTTATTTATCCTCACCCAAGGATATTTTTCCATGGATTTTTAGGGAGAGTGGAAGAGAGAGGGAAAGATAAAGAGAAACATCGATGTGAGACAAACTGAGGTACATGCTCTTGACCAGAATCGGACCATGAATTTGGTCTGCAGGCTGATGCCCTATCCACTGAGCCAAACCGGCTAGGGCTAAACATTTTCATAGTTTTATGAGTGGTTGTCAAAGCATCCTATTTCAGTGTGATTGTCCTTTTGATCACAAATGCAACGCCCCCCATTTATTGGGGGGTTAGCCTGCTGAGAGGGACTTATTTTCCCCTTGGGCTGCTGTTCCTATCCTCATCGGACTCATTGATAAATGTGCTAAGCGGACCAGGAGTCTGTGCTGTGTCTTCCAGGCACCAGTCACTTTCTCTCCTTTGCGTCAAGTGACGACTGTGACTTCTGAAGTGACTGAGCAGCGTCTGACTCCTCATTGAAACACAGGAGATGCAGACGCCGCAGACTCCAGAGCTGCGGACTCCACTGTGACCCATGCGGTGCGCCTGACGGGCCCTGAGGAGCCAGACAGCCAGCCATGCGGCCACGGGCCCCCAGCACAGGCGCCGGAGCCCCTCCGAGGCCGGGGCGGGCCCTGCTGCTCCGTGTCCCCAGTGCGTTGCTCACACTCCACAGACTGGGTGCACTCACGCCTCCTGGGCTCATGGCCCTGTGCCCTGAAGGAGGTCAGACGCGAGAAACTGGAGAAAGTATCTTACCGACAAACGGGCAATGGCAGGATGGGATGTGGACAGAACACTCCTCTCTGAACAGCGTCTGAAACAGGCAAACGTGCCGTCCAGCCTCTTAAAAAAAAAGCTGTGGGTCTCCTTCCTCCTTGTGGGCCCACACCTGGGAGCCTCTGAGAAGTTCATGAAGGCCCTGCTCTGTGGTGACTGGCTGGGCGTCCTGCAGCCACACGGCCTGACAGGCCCCTGGAGGCAGGGCTCCCGGCTGCACAGGGACGTCTCAGCCACCCGCCTTGCCCCCCCCCCCCCCCCAGGCAGTCTCTAGGGGCCTCGTGAAAAGCAGAGGGCAGGGCGGCTGAGCCTGGCAGGCTGCCCAGCGTGCGGGCAGGGCCCTGGGCAGGAGTGGGGCTCCCTCTTCCCCTGTGGCTGTCTGCCTTCTCCTGGGGTACCGTGCGGGTCTCCCTGGTAGATGGGTGTTACAGGTGCCCTGGAAGCCTGAGGGTGTCCGGGAGCCCAGGGCAAGGAGAGCATCCGGAACGCAGCTGAACGAGAAAGGAGACCATGTCAGCCACCCCGTGTGGGGCATGCCCTCGGCCCACTCACTGTGCCACCTCACTCATTCTCATCACTCCGGGCAGGTCTCATCCCCTCCGTTTTCCAGACAAGGAGACAGAGGCTCAGGGTGACAGGTGGCTTGCTCAATGCCATCAAGCTGCCATGCAGCAGAGCCAGGCCCTGACTCCAGGACTAGTCACTCACTCACTCCCGTCACAAACGTTGATGCGTGTGGATACGGGCCCGCTCCTGTGCCAGGGCCGTCTCCTGGGAAGGCAGATAGACCCTCAGAAACCGTGTCTCTATGGAACGCCAGGGGCTGAGAGCTGCCGCGGGGGGGGGGGGGGGGGGGGGGAGAAAGCTGGAGGGCAGCCACGTGAGGCGGGAGGCAGGGGGCCTCTCTGAGGAGGGGCATTTGAGCAGGGACCTGCATGAAGAGAGAGAAGGGCGTGCGGAATTCAGAGGAGAGAGAAAGGAGCGAGTGCAAAGAGCCTGAGGTGTGTCTGCTGGTGCATCTGGAGAACGGTGGGAAGGCCAGCATGTCTGGAGTGTACCCCCTCCTACCTGCCATGATTTTGGGGCTCCAGAGAGATCCCTAAAGCTCCTCTTCCCATTCCCCGTTCTCTGCCACCCCACACACTGCATGTGCGCACACAGGGAGAGGGAGAGTGGTGGGAGCGGAGGCCAGGGAGGAGGCCCAGTCACAAAGCACCTTGTAGGTCATGGGAAGGACGCCGGCTCTGAGAGAGGCCAGAGGCTGGAGGGTTTTGAGTAGAGGAATAGCTTGATCTAGTCCTTTGATATCTAAGCCAAGCGGTTTCTTTGCTGAGCAAGACAAAGCTGCTCCAAAGTGAAGAATCGTTAATGTGAGGTGGCGCCAGGATGCCGAGGGCTGTTGAAAGGATCTGGGAGAGAGAGCTGGGGCATGGGACCTTGGGCAGCCAGAAAGAGGGCACGGTATACCCCCAAGACACAAGCTATCCGCGTTGTCATGACAACCAAAGGGGCCTCTTGCCAAAGGTGATGTTTGCTTAGTGAAATGCTTTGTAACCCACCAGGAGACAGCCCCTGGCTGGGCCTGCTGCTTCCTGAGCTTGGCTCACCGTCCTTTCTGCAGACAAACAGGGGCTGGGAACTCAAAGGAAGTGAACAAAAGCGCTGAGCAGCGGAGGGGGAGTCACCAAGGGCATTGGGCTTTGTGTGTCTCCATGCCCACTGGGACTGTGGCCAGGGACAGGCCCTCCAGTCACCTGACAGGAGGCACAGGGAGCCCTCCTCTCAGGCACAGGGTCTGGCTGGGACAGGGCATGGGAGGTCACAGCCCCGAGTGGCCTTCGGGTCACACTGTGACTCCGTAGGGCAGCCGGCTCCAAAGCAACACAGAAGCGAGGAGGGAGGGTTTCATGCCAGCGGCGGTGGATCTGAATGCCACACACGGAGGAAGCCCTGGGCTGTCAGACAGTGACGGAAGCTTCAAACAGGGCGCACACGGTCCCTGCTCTGAAGTGTCAGGTCTTTGGGAACTAGCAGCACGAGGAGGACAGGGGCCCTTGCTGGGAAGGCCAGACTCCTGTGTGCCCCTCCTCCCTGGCATGATTGCACTCGAACTCCTCCACACACACACACACACACTCACACACACTAACACACACACTCACACGTGCACTCACACACTCACTAACACACACACACACGCTCACACACACTAACACACACACACTCACACACACTCACACTCACACACATACACTCACACACGCTCACACACACGCTCACACACACTCACACACACACTCACACACACACACACTCACACACTCTCACACACACTAACACACACACGCTCACACACACACACACACTCACACACACACATACACACACACTAACACACACACACTCACACACACACTCACACACACACACTCACACACACTAACACACACACTAACACACACACACTCACACACACACACTCACACACACACACACTAACACACTCACACACACTAACACACACACACTCTCACACACGCACACACACACTCACACACACTAACACACACACTAACACACACTAACACACTAACACACACACTCACACACACACACACGCTCACACACACGTGCACACACACACTCACATACACACACACATGCACTCACACACACATGCACTCACATGCACTCACACACACAGTCACACACACAGTCACACACACATGCACTCACACACACACACTCACACAGTCACACACACATGCACTCACACACACTCACACACACACTCACACAGTCACACGCAATGCACTCACACACTCTCACACACACACACATACACACACACACTCACACACCCACATCCCCCACCCCCAAACTCTCCTGTGCAGTTATTTAGCTTCTTAAACGTGCAGAACCGCATTTCGGT